AAATTAATACCTTTGTAGATTCCTCTTTGCATAAGCAAAGGCTAATCACCCAAAGATAGGGCCTTCATTCCTTGCATCTTAGATCCATGGATTTGGATGGATGAAAAGGTTTCTCCAAGTTCCCAAAATTGAGAACCTCTAATGATTCATCACCAAGGCATAATGAAGAAGAAAATGAGTGACCTTGGAGGAGTTTGATTGCTAGATGATCCCTCCAAGGTGGCCTAAATTTTAGAGAGAAATGAGAGCTTGTGTTCTCATCTTTTCCCCAAAAATTACCATATGTAAATTTTTAGGCTATAAAGTCCTCTATATAGTCCCTTCAAATAAGTGACCTAATGGACCAAAAGCCCTATTCTTCTAACATGGTAAGCCTATAGGGTTTATTGGGCTTTCAAGCCCTTTGTTTATTCAAGTTGTCATACAACTTGAGTTAATGGGCTTGACATTCAAATCCCATTGGGCCTTGCGGCCCAAAACTAACCCGAGGTCTTTAACGAACTTATTCGTTTGATTAATTAACATATTAATTAATCCTAGCCTTAGATAAACAATTAAACCATTTAATTATTCTTACTCATCTCCGTTGTTTCTTCAAACTCTACCTTACTCGGTGAACGATCCATTAGGTTCCTTTTAGCGAGGCAGTGGGCGATTAAAACTCTTTCTAATCGATTGTGAATTGAAACTTACTTTCAATTCTCCCGTTAGTGATAATACACTTTTAGGGCTTCCACAAACCATGGTTGACGCCTAGCAGCATGTCATGGTTACCCAAGCTAATCAGAAGAGGTGGAGAACCTATTCAGTTTTAGGATTACAAATGCAATACGGTCTTTCTCTAATACAATACTCTTGACCACATTGTTTGGTTTGATAGTTTATTCATGTCTACTATCCAATGTGAGTCTTGTGCTTATATGATTACCTTGAATGTGATTTGGAACACATTCCTAAATCTCATTCATACTTTGGCCAAAGATTCTTAATCATATCATAGAGTATTCTCCCTCAAACAGTTTGAAGGTTAGAGATCCCTTGTTGCGCATTCACTTGCCTCCATGGCTAAGTGGCTTAACCCCAACGATGCCATGGACACCCTCCTGATGGAGTGACTTTGACATAATCAAAGATTAAGGACCTAACCACAAGACAACTGTGATGCCTCAAGTCAAAAGACTAATTTGCATTATCCCAACCATGAGTTCTCATGTGACATGAATATGAGAACTCTTCGTTGATCGTGTTCAGTGAACTCATTCTCTATTGAGCACCTACGTACTTGTCTTGATGTCACACACACCAATGACTCGAGACTAGTCACTCTCCCTGAGAGAAGACATAGCACGTACTGATCTTAACGGACTGTCAATGCCCAATTGACAATCCTATGATCAGGAACGTTTAGGATGTGTCAACGAAAGAATGGTCTCATGAATCTAACTTCTTTAGATCGCATTCTTCCAATCACATATTCCTTGGACTTATCGTTTAAGCATATAACATTTATATGAGACGGCTCAAACAATAATGTTTGCCCTTAATATTAAACTAGATTAGTTTAACATGTGAAATGTCCATAAAGTATCATCATATGATTGGTTTTAGGGCACATTTCCAACAATCAAAGCAGCCCAGAAATCATCCCATCCAATATGCCGCAAGCAAGGGAAAGGAGACAGTTTCACGCAATTGTTTGGCTCTTCATTCTGAGTTGTTGAACAATTTTAGGTGTATTCTATCTTATATTTCAATGTCTAATTCATGTAATCTTTGTTTTGCTTTGAGTATGATTGGCTAAATTTGTTTTGGCTAAGGGTGTATTCAAAACCATGATTATATATGTGAAATAAGTTGATTACTTCCAGTTATCGTTGCATAAGTCATGAATACAATTTGCTTAACCGTTTGATTTAGAACTTATTCTTGTATGCTGATTGAGAGTGCACGCTTAATTTGCATGCTTGAATTTGGTGCGAGGATATAAGTTTGTTTCACCTAATCGTTATGAATTTATATTCACAAGTAGTGAAGGTCACTAGTCACGATCGCGTTAAGTAGATTCCTAGCAGGAATATCATGCTTTTCATAGTTACAAATGCCTTATTGATGCTTATGATCTCCAAAGAACGTAATGATTCTAACTTGTGTCTTTATCATGCTGTTCATATAGAGAACTTGTTAGGAATAATTTGTTTGTGATGCATATTCATCCAATTCAATGATTCTAGGGAAATCTAAAGGTTAATTTAAGCAGACCTAATTAACTTGGAGTGTCGAGATTCGTAACTTATTGAATTGATAACTGGAAATTGATTTACGTTGCATATATTTCATGTGTGGAGAAGAACCCCTTAGCTATCCCCTCATCCATTGATTCATCACAAATTTGTCTTACAATCTGTTTTCTTTACAATCTGCCCATTAAGTTTAATTTCGTCCAAACACAATCCCCCCATATTTTGTTGAGTCTTAGTCATTCAAATCTGTCTTATTTTGTGCTTTTAAGTATTTGGAGTCACAAACACTTCCAAATTCATCCAATAAGTATTTGGAGTCACAAACACTTCCAAATTCGTCCAATTCAAGTTTTAGTTTCTGTTTGAGTCAATTTGATTGTTTTAGGCAGTTTTGAGTGTTTCAAATCTGTTTTGAGTCATAGTAGTCTTGTTAGAGTCTTCAAGTTTAGTTTTTGTGTTTTTAAGTCAATTTATATTAGATTAGCACCCCTAGTTAATCCCCGGTTAGAACAATTCCTACTTACATCATTACTACAATTGTCACAAATAAGGTTTAATTTGTGTGTCACATTAGTAACGCATCAGAGTTTGAAATTGGTATGAGCATATGGAATCCCTGGTTCTCGCTCCTAAGTAGTGGCATTTTGTTCATAAGATCATATACATCTTTGTATTAATAATTCCAGAAAGTGTCTTCTTTGTTATAACATATGTGAGTGCTAGTCTACATGCTTACATCAATCTTCTCACATATACTTAGTATAGGGAGTGTATTTTAATCTGTGTGAAAATAGAGAGTACACCCGGTGAGGAATTGAGTGAATTCTCTAAGCCATGTTACTACTTTCAAATGTTGTGTTAATTGATTAAATGGGAGCTAGTGAGTGGTTACTGTGGTTAAGTATAAGCACGAGAGTAAGGATGGCTAAAATCTATGTGAGTAGTAATTTTTAACATGTCATGTTTCATTAGAAATCCCTGAGGCAATTGTTGGAAGGTTTAGGTTTTGTTTTGTTTTCTTTATTTTGCTCGGGGACTAGCAAAAGCTAAGTGTGGGGGAATTGGATAGGAGCATATTTATGTGACTTTGTATTCTTATTTCTTTGCATTTATTTAGTTAATTTCTATTTATTGTAGTAATTTAACTATTTTCGTATTATTGTAGGTCTAATTTGGTAAAGACGACAATAAATGGCAAAATGGAGCAATTTGGAGCAATTTTGGACTTGGATTGGATAGCAGGCGTAGATAACATATAGGCTGGATGGTTTTTTGTGTTTAAATGGTGCTAGATATGTGATAAAATCTAGAGAAATTAAAGTTGAGGCTTGGAAGGCAAGGAATTAAACAAGAAAGAGGAATCCTAGTTGGAGAGAAACATTATCTTATCTTATCTTATCTTATCCAACTTTATTTTATCTTATCCAATCTTATCTTATCTTATCTCCAGTTGCAAGGAGGAATCCTAATCACATTCCAAGACTCTCTACCTGATTTTTAGAGTCCTAAAATAATTCAAAATGTCAAAACCTTTTCCTTCTTGGATTCAGCCATTCCCCACCTATATATATGAAATTCCTGCAGAGATTTAGAGTGTGTCGCGCCTACCATTCATCCATTGAAGTTGCTGGAATTTTAAGAGTTCTTTCTATCTTTGTTTTAAGTTTCAATGTTTATTTTAGATTGCTTTTCAGTTATGATGAACATGTGTAACTAAGTTTCTTTTTACCTTGAGATGAATTCGAAGCCATAATCATATGTTTTATATAAATTGGTTACATCCAGTTATTGTTTCATAAAACATGAATGCGATTTACTTATCTGCTTTATAGAGAACTTATTCTTGTATGTTTATTAAGGGTGCACACTTAGTTTGCATGCATGGATTTGATGCTAGAATTTAAGCGAATTTCACCTAATCGTTATGAACTTATATTTGCAAGTAGTAAAAGTCACTAGTCATGATTGAGTTAAGTAAATTCTTGGCAGGAGTATCATGCTTTTCATAGTTACGAATGCTTTGTCAATGTTTATGATTTTCACAGAACTTAATGATTTTTGAGATGTATCTCTATCATACTTTTCATAGTTAGGGAACTTGAGAAGAATAATTTAGTTGCGTTGCTGAGTCCAATTCAATGAACTTAGGAAAATCTGAGAGTTAATTAGTATTGTTCACAATTAATTTGGGATATTGTCATACATGGTATATAGGAAGAATAACTGGACATCGATTTGTATGCATATGTTTCATGTGTGGAGAAAAATCCTTTAGCTATCATTTCATCCATATTTCATTCACAACTTAATTTACTTATTGCCGTTTAATTTTGTTTTAGTTAAATTCTTCCAAAATCTCCCCCCTCATTGTTTTGTTGTTAGTTTAACTTAGTTTTTAGTTTTATATGTTTAATTTGTGTTGATTAGCATCCCTTCTGATCCTTGAAATAAAACGATCCCTACTTACTCGTACTACGATTACATAATATACATGGTTTAATTTGTGTGTTAGTTTCCAACACATCAAAGCACCAACACATGCCCACTCCACATGCCCACTCCGTGGAATATTACTTGTGATATGATATAACAAATAAAAAATTCCGTTCAAATATTATCAAATTTATCTCAATTAAAATTTGGTGCCCCACCCAGCCTCTCATGCCCATAGAACCAGCCCAACAAAGCATAAAAAAATTGTTGGCCCGGCCCAATGAAACATTAATTCACAGTTAAATCCAGCTCGACCCCCAAGTCTATACCCTCCTTTCTTTCTGATTCCAAAACAAGAGAGAAAAAGCAAGCGACAGAGACGGAGATGGCCGGAGAGGAAGAGACCAGCGAGTTCTACCTGAGGTACTACGTCGGCCACAAGGGCAAGTTCGGCCACGAGTTCCTGGAGTTCGAGTTTCGACCAGACGGCAAGCTCCGGTACGCCAACAATTCCAACTACAAGAACGACACCATCATTCGTAAGGAGGTCTACGTCACGCCCGCCGTCGTTAGGGAGTGCCGTCGTATCATCTCAGAGAGCGAGGTCTGTCATCAGTTCTGAACCCTTTTGTTTCTGTCACTTGTAATCTCTTTATTGGGATTTAGGTCTCTGGTATTTTATTGATTGGTTTGGTGATTGGGGTTTAGGGTTCATCTTTTATTGGGGAGGTTTGTTGGGGTTGTGTAACGTCTCAAATTTCCTGCATTGCAAAAAGAGCTGCGAGATTTTAGTGTAGGGTAGGAGTTTTGAGGCTCTGTATTATTTGTATATTTTGGAACTAGATTATGTAGGTTTGGGTTTGTTTTTAGAATTTTGAGGGGTTTTTGTGCTTTTTATTTATTTAAGGGAGTTTGGTTATGTGGGTTTTTCTTGATTTTGAAAATTTGATGGGTTTTGGAGGTGGAATTTGTTAGGAATCCCCTACTAAATGACTAGATGCAATACCATTGACAGAACATTCTAATGACACCTTTGAAGGTTCTATTTTGAAAGTCCTTTGTTTAATGTATTTGTAGTGCTTGAGTGGTTCACTGCTGATATCCTTCTAGTGCATTTATAACAATTAAGTGTAATGTTCCATGTACTTCGAAAGCCCCTCATCCAAAACATGTGCATTTATAACAATTAAGTGTAATGTTCCATTTACTTCGAAAGCCCCTCATCCAAAACATAGGTTTCCAAAACATAGGTTTATAGTCATCTGATTGATGGTTTACGCTTTTCTATCTCATCCTTGAGGAGTCAGGGGATTGAAATATAAAGTTATATATGTGTTTAGTTCTCGTAGGATCCAAGTAAAAGAGTGGTTGTTTATAGATGTGATTTAATGTATGGTTTCAATACTATCTTTTGGTTAAATTTGTTAAGTTTCCTGCTTGGAGGCTGAGAGAGTATAAAATTTGAGATTGGGGAAACGGCAAGGAAATTGTGCATGTCCAAGGGAGGCAAATATAAGATAAAATAAGGGTATTAAGTTTGAAACTGCAAGCCTTTGGTTTCCTATAGTCATTGGTGACAGGTAGTGGCATTTAATAGTAACGTTACTGGAGTGATTTTTGGATTCTCAGGTTTTGACAGCAATCTGAATTTTCTTCTAATATTTCAGTTAGAGTTAAGTTCACACTATTGGAATTGGGGAATCAAGAGCAAGGAAATTACTTCCAAAACATGAAGTTCTATCTTTCCATTGATTAATAACACTTGTTTCAGATGGCCATCTAATAAGGTTAAAGGAAACATTGGTATTGGGTGGAATTAGCTATGTCTTATTAAAGGACGGAAAATGAATGTATGTTCGTTTATCTTAACTGAACAGTGAAACTAACTCAATTCTTACGTTGATTATTCATTCAAATTGATTGATCTTGGAAACTGTATTCTTCCCAGAATTTGATTATTGAAATTTTGTTGTCCTGGTTTCCTTAATTGGTTGCATGCTTGCTTTAATGTAGATCATGAAGGAAGATGATGTGAACTGGCCAGAACCTGACCGTGTTGGGCGGCAGGAGCTTGAAATTGTAATGGGGAATGAGCATATCTCCTTCACTACTTCAAAGATCGGATCACTTGTAGATGTCCAGAGTAGTAAGGATCCTGAAGGTCTTCGCATCTTTTATTATCTCGTTCAGGTTAGTTGATTTGCATTTTCGTTTAGTATTATGATATGCTTTTCCTTTTTCTGGATTGTAATTGCATAAGGCTGTTAGCTCATACATGTCACTGCTGGAATTATGTTCTCAAATAAGGTGAGATTTCACTGTGTATAATTGCATCATGGTGTGTGCTTGTTTTGTAGAATACGTTTCTAGTATTCAATGCATTCTTGTATGTTATGTCGTAGAAGGAGAGAACATGCTATTCTGTTCATTTGTGAGTTTTTGAGAATCAGGTGCTTAACAGCCTGATGCTTTTTCCGTGGAAATTCAAAACCTTTTGGTATTGAATAAGTATCTATGCAAGAATGATACGAGGGTAGCTCTTGCCCCATTTTGCATGGGTGATGGGTCTATGCTGGATCATCTATTTATGCAATGAAGTGCCTTGGTTCCCTCACCTGTTATATATTTTGTCACTTTTAGCCTTGTATACGAGTTCTTTCATGAAGTCTTTCTTGTGTCCGGGTGACGCAGGATGAGTCTTCTGCCCAAAACTGTTTCTTGATGACGTTTTTATTTGACCGCAGGATCTGAAGTGCTTTGTGTTCTCTCTCATCTCGCTTCACTTCAAGATCAAGCCGATATAAGATGTATCAGTGTGTGCCCGACAAATTGCACTCCTTGGTTGTGTATGCCTTTCGATAGAGTTGACCTTTTTAATATGTAGGCCTTATCATTTGACAATCTTTCTGTAATTTCTGCTATTTGGATGGTTACGAGTGGATTTCGGAATGTATGCCAAAATGGAATGCCAGTTTTTCAGTTTCTGCGTCTCTGCACCTCCCTCTGTGTTCGGGACTGCAGCGGTTCAATGTATCGTGTGCGCTTTCTTATGTGCAACTGCCAAAGAAAACAGAAAGTCTGCAAAGTGATTTAGGTGGAATTTATGATATTCACATGAGCATTGTTGTTTCGCAGCTCAATGTATTGCTTCAAATGCATTGCGGTTCATTCCTTCAATATTCTTACTAACTTCCCGAAGGTCATCTTGAGTTCTCCGGAGATATCCCATACAGTCGGGATGTTAAATTGAATTCAATTTCCGAAAGGATATGTTATTAAATAAACTTGGTCGAGAAGGGGATCCTGGTCTCTACGACTAAGGTCTGATTTGGTACTTTGATGTTAAATTGAATTCAATTTGCGAAAGGATATCGTTGTATAAAGAAATGTTATCCAAATTGATGGTAAATGATAAATTGGTTAGTAAGGAAACTTAAACCTCTCAATATTGGTTTTTGTTTCTTATTTTTTATTTTTATTTTTTTAGTATAAGCGATATTCTACACTAATTCACGTTAGCAACCATAATGATTCCATTTAAAACATTTGCAAGCACATTTAACTAACAAAAATGATATTCTTATCACAAATTTATACCATTATTTGTACCATCAGATGAGACCTACCTGTATTGGCAAGTTCTATCTCTATTAGAAAAATGGTAGAAATGATGGTACAACTAGATGATAAGTGTAGTATTCCTCTTTGGCTAATGAAAAAATTGTAGAAAAGGTGATGCCGAAAAGAGAGCTTTTCTGTTTAACTTATTCGTTTCAATTTTGGTAAAACCCTTACAGAGTTACCCTAAGGCTAGAACCCTCACTAAACCCCATTTATCCCCTAAACTTAGATTATATGATAGGAGGTTAAATACAATCATTTACAATGTATATAAGCACTAATTACAAAAGTTTTTTTTTTTTTTTTTTTTGTCCTTCATACAACGATATATTTCTACAAAGAGTGGATGAAAGTGAGGCTTCACAATGTTTCTGTCCATTTGCAGGTAGTCCACATCTTCACTAACATATGTCTATTTCACCGGCCATTTATTCGAGACAATTTCTATATCATTACACTTCAGAACTTACTCGATAAGAAATTTCGCTACTTTAGAATGACCACTTTAAAAGATGACTTGATGTAATTGAAAATAACTAAATTTTGGGTTGTTCGAGAAAATTGAAGCTTTTATAAATACAATAAAAGGATTTAATTTGAGTGACGTGTTTCTTTGATAATAAACGTGGTAATAAAATCAGTAGGTACACAAACATTTTTATAGTACAACTGATACATGTATAAGCCAGAACGTATACAAATGGGAAATTAATAATTAGAGTAAATATTTTTCATTCATAAGACTTGCCCGAGTTAGTTGTGCAATCCAAGTTTGTCTTAACCATTGCTTTGTTCAATTCAAGTTCATTGTCTTTGACCCCTTCTTGTCTTTAAGAAATATGGATATGATGTGATAAAAGATAGCACACAAATTAAACCCTCTTTTTGATAATTGTAGTATAGATATAAGTAGGGATCGTTCTAGGCCGGGGATTAGGAGGGATTGCTAACCTAATGAAAATCGAATCAAAGATATGAAAATAAGCTTTTAAAACACTTAAAATAAACTCAAAAGACTCTTAACTAACTTATATGACTCAAACAGATTTTAAAGACTCAAAACAACTTAAAACAACCAAAAAGACTCAATTTAGACCTTAGGACTCAATTTGGACGAAAATACAATTAGTTTTGACTCAAAAGACTCTAAAACACACTTTTGGACAGATTTGGAACAAGTAAGAAGAGGGGATTTGTTTTTGGACGAATTTAAAAGAAAACAAGTAATTTAAAACTTAGAATAGATTTTTGGACGAATTTGAGTGAAACCAATGGATGATGGACTAGCCAAGGGATACTTCTCCACACATGATACATTCAAACATAAGTTGATTTCCAGTTGCTTTTCCGATAAACCATGAACCTCAACACCCCAGATTAACCGTGACATCACTAATTAACCCTCAGATTTCCCTTAAGTTAGTGGATTGGATGACATCATACGACAACCCAAAGCATTCTTCAAAAGTCCCCTACATGACATCATAATAGAGATACGGTCAAAGATCATTACGTTCAATAGAAATCATAAGTATTGACAAAGCACTTGTAACTATGACATCATGATACTCATGCTAGGAATTTACTTAACATGATTGTGAAAACAACCTTAACTACTTGTGAACATAAGTTTGTGACGATTATGTGAAACACCCTTATATTCTAGCACCAAATTCAAGCATGCAAATTAAGTAGGCCTCCCTAATCAACATACAAGAATAAGTTATCCATCAAACGGTTAAGTAAATTGCATTCACAATTTATGAAATCACAACTGGAATTTATCAACTCATATTATAAACGTAATCATGGTTTCAAAGCATCCCTAGGCTAAAACGAGTTTAGCCTCTCATGTTCATGACAAAACTAAGGAAAATAAAATTAAACATTGAAAATAAAAGATAGATTACACCTAAAAACGTTCCAACACTCCAACTTGAATGCACAAACGCCCAAGGCTGCGTCTTTCTTGTCCTCTTCCTTGCTAAGTCACGGCACAAGGTCTAGGGTGGTTTTATGGATGATTTTCTGGGTTTTGGATGGATTTAGGAAGGTATGGTGGTGCGGCAAGGTTTGATGGTGGTGTATGGAGGTTGGGATGGAGGTTTGGAAGTAGGGGAATGATGGAAGGTTGGTTGCAAGGTTGCGGCAAAGGATGGATTTCTGAATGAATGAATGAATGTTGTGTGAAAGGGTGGTGATTAAATGGTGCGGCAAGGGCTGTTTATATAGGCTAATTTGGCACACTTAGTGAAGGAGAAGGATTGCACAATCCCATTGAAAAAGGGTTAATTCAAGGCAGAAATCAAATGGGAAATGGAATAGGTAGTGCGGCTAGGATTTAGGGAATTCTAGAAGGTTAGGTGCGGCACACATGTAGGGAGAGGATAAGGTGTTCTAGAAGGAGTGTTTAAGGCAGATTCCTAAACCTAAAGGGACATGAACATGTGATATAAGAGTAGGAGAAGGATTGCAATTCCTAAACCTACAAGGAAGGGTGTTCATGCGGCATACACTTGGATAAGGCTTCTAGAAACTGAAATAGGTGTTCAAATATGTAATTAATCCCCTCTACTTAGCTAGGTTTAAGTCCTAACTTGATTTGGATAGGATAGGATAGGATAATGTTAGAGTTAGGAAAGGATAAGGTTGGATAGGATGGGATAAGATAAGGTTGGATAAGGTTCCTTGTTTCTTGCTATTTCCTTATCTTCTTTGCTTTAGGACTTCCTCCACCAGATTTGTAGCCTTTCCTAGTCCTTCTTGAGTTCAATTTCGTCCATCATCTTTACTCCATGGTTAAGCTATCCAATCCATGCCCAAAAATGCTCCAAATAGCCTTAAAATGCACTTTCTTGCTGCTTTTGCCATTAGGACCTAAAAACATACGAAAATAACTTAAAAGACTGAAATACATAGTAATTAACTCACTAAATGCAAGGAAACAATATAATTAAGTAGCATAAATATGCTCCTATCAAGATACTTCCAATACATTAAAACTCATTGCCCTTAAGTAGAAAAACCGTTTCAATATAAAAAACAACAAAAACTAGAGCAAACATATAATAACGGATTCTAAAATGTAATTATATATCTATTATAGGTCAACGTAAAGACATTGAACATATTGATTAAAATCTGCATTATTACATTTCTATGGCAATTACCTTATCTTTCAATTTCTTTTCTAGTTTCTATTATTCTTTTGGTTGCTTTCTGTTTTGTAATATCTAATTATAATTTGTTTTCCCTTCTTCATGGATCTACCTTATCATACAATATATACATGAATACATTCCTTTCTACTTTTAAGAATCTTTATGGAGCTCGGAAAAAAGAATGATTTATATAGGAAAGGATATAAATCAAAGGCCAAAATTTCATAACAAGAAAAGAAAAAAACGAACAAATATAGAGAGCTGTTATTTCCACCCTAATATATTATCTTCCCATCCACATTTTTATGAATTTTTTAATTACAAATTTGTCAGTATGTAAAATGATTAATAAGGACCTTAGTTACCCCCTTTTGCATTACTTTTTTTTAATAAAAAATAAAAAAGAAAAGTTTGGGCGGGATAACTCTCACGCTATGTTTAGACGATTTGTATCCCTTAAATCCTAACTCATCCTTCCCATCTCCTTTCATTCAGAGAAAGCAAAAAGAATGAACTTAGAAGATAATGTTTCTATGAAAGAAGTAGATGATTATATTTCCGTCAAAGAGGTAAAAGATAATTTTATGTGGGTCATCTTGATTTGTCGACATCGTATAATTGAAGCGTCGCTCTGTGACTTTTTATCTCTAATTATATATATATATATATATATATATATATATTAAGGGTTATTTTAGGAATAATAGTGGGTGGGAAAATAACATTTTAATTTTTTAACTTTTTATAGTGGGTGTAAATATAACATGGGTGAGAAAATAAGACAACGGGGTGGGTCTAGCAACTCTCTAAATATATTACCATTCGACATTTGACTTTCTTTTATGGAGATTTTTAACTATTCCGTCTCATATTTTTCTAGAATTATAGTATAGCAAACCTTCATACCATTTCATTTCTGCACAAAAATTCGAAGATGTCAAATATTCTTCAGTGGTGTGTTGCTCTAATCTTGCTAGAGTTTGGATTATTAGGGCAAGCAAACGGCCAAAAGTACAGAGTAGTTGGCAATAAGAAGTTGGCTTCACTGTCGTCGTTGATAAATCTGGCCATGGAGACTTCACCTCTATACAATCAGCCATTGATGCTGTCTGTTAGAGATATTCCATCATATCCACATATCATTCCATCATCTCCACATATCTCTCCCCAATCTTCTTGATTGAGTTAAATTTAGAATGTTGTATAGCGTTGACTTGGTGATTTCAATTGTAATTAATTACAATATCAATTCTGTTCTATATATCATGTAACTATAGGAATGAATAAAATACAGAAAATCATTTTCTACATGGTATCACCCAGGTCTAGGCTCATT